CAGCCTAAGCTGGTTTCAGCAGGGTTGAGTTGTGCAAACACCCTGCTGAGACCTTTCGTGGCCCTTTAAATGTCACTTTAAGCTGAATACTAGTATCTTAAAAAATATCTAGTCAAATATTCAACCCGGGCTCATTGTGGAAACTTAGTCCCGCGGACATTTCTGGAGATCGCAGAAAACCTCCCGGCGGGTATGTACGGCTGCAGTTTTTGTTTTCGCGAATCCACGAGAGGCCGCTGTTATGCTCTTTTTCACGTCCCAGACGGTTCGAGCCCGCGCTGTTCTTGCGTGAACCCGCCGGAGGCCGCTGTCCAACTGGCCGGATGATTGATGATTAACTGCCCGACCGGCCAATCGGCCGACCCGCCCTCCTCCTTCCCTGAACCCAACAAATCTTACCGATCGACCCGCCCGCCCGTTCGCTTCCCTTAACCCAAGCGACAGTTTACAAAAGCCGTCTAAAAAAATAAAAGCCCCGATTTATTTTTTTCTACCGAGTTTTCGGATTTCACCACGTCCTCACCCTGTCACGAAACTCGTTCACTTAATTTTTGGGATTCTGTTTTTGTCTTACCTGATTGCTGGAGCTGCTCTTTCCCGGACTCGAAACCGATCGCCGTGGTCGACTCCTCTCTGCATCTCGAGCCTGCCGACGTACACGATGAGCTGAGTGGACAAACGGGTTGCAGCGGGGAAGCCCTCCACAAGGAGGTAAGCGGTCGGCCGGCAAGCACGAAAGGGAACGGCGTCACACCGCCCCGCAGCGTTCGCTTGAAAAAAATTAACTCGGCCGTACGTACCTCCCAGGACGTATTCCACTGTCTGCAGAAACGTCGGCGGGACTACGTTTTCAGAATGAGATTGGGGTGCAAATATTATGTAATGTTATTAGAAATCAGTCATTAAAACTATTATGTTTAGAAGTGTATCAAACAAAAACATTCTCTCCTTTAAACAGAAATTAGCAGAAAAAATAATAACTTTACTGATTCAGAAGGGCTAATAGTTCTGACTTCAACTGTATATGCTATGCTTTCACCTTTTCTAAAGCCGATCTGGAACAATAATAATTGTGAAAAGCCCTACACAAAAAACTTGCACTGAATACTGCCCAAGCCACCTGACGATTCCGCAGGCATAGAGGCAATCGGAAAACAAGACAATAAAGACTAACACAGCCTTTAAAGTTTGACTTGGACATCAGGCCTGTCAATACTAGGATCAGGATAAGCTAGCCGGAGCGAGTGGGAAAGACGGAGATAACACACACAGAGAGCTCTTACTTCTGACACCAAAGCTGAGTAGGTGCTGTTTCAGCTCGGAGGGAGATCTGGCAGGGAGCGCTAATGGACTCCACATTGACTCGCCGGATGCCTTTTCCTGCTGTTTGACTGTCTGCTGTTTGCCAGGCTGTGAAGGCGCTTCTTCTCATCGGGATGTTGTTTGAGAGTCAGTCAGATGCAACACTGTACATCCCCAAAAAAAAAGCTTGTAATTCCAGGGAAATGGAGAATGTCCATGATTTGTAGAGATGTTTTAATCAGTAAACGCTCCTTCTTTTGGTCAATGAAGTGGTCATTAGAATGAAAAATGTAAGATATCACATCCACATTCGGCATTCAATTCCAACTAACCACTTCGGTTGCAAGTACTTCAATTTCTCTTTCGAAAAAATATCTGACTTCTCTTCCTCGCCTCGAATGAAAAGCCTAAAACGAAGTTATTTGTAATTACGTGCCATTGTTCGCTCGGCTCTAGCTTTAGGAGAAAAGAAGCATCCTCAGATGTCCTCGCTAATTGAAGTGGAGCTCCTTCTGGATTGCCGGACCAGTCAGGGGAAAAGCACATTCATCTTTTTTTTTCTCCGTTTAATCCAAAGGGAGGTTGTTCTGTAGACAAAGCAAAAGGGGATATTCAATAATCAGATACAAGCTAGTGTTGCTCTTTTTTTTTTTGTGATGCCGGCTTCAAAGATACAGTACATTACAAAGACATTATAGCCCTGTTGATGTTTCGAATGAAAGGAAATGCGGATGTATACGGTGGATGAATTCAAAGAAACCAGCGGTGCGTTTCTAAAAACCATCGTTAGCCAACTACAGTTGCAAAGTTACTTTTAAACCATAGATATATACACTAGATATCGCATAGGGACCCTGAGCATGCGTCAATAGCGCCGCCACATTGGTACAGTGCTCCCAGGACAAATGTCATTCAACCGCACTAATCAAGACAGTGTTATTACGTGAAGATGCGGGACTTTAGCGCTGTCTATGGGTGTAGAAACAAAGAAATGAAAGCACAAAGGCAGAACATTTCATAGGTAATATTAAGGTTTTTTTTCTGTTTTTGTATGTTCTGAACTTTTGTGCTAATCAGGTAACGTTATTGATGATAACAGTCACTTACTGCATTCACCATACAGCAAAGCAGCTCCAACTCGCACTAAACAGCGATGATGAGGCTTCATTTAAATGGCAGAAGATGCCAGGGCCGGAGTGGGACTCCTTTTCAGCCCTGGAGTTTCAAGCATTAGACCGGCCCACCTCAGTTCACGACTGACTATTATAAAATAAGGTCATTTCCAATTCATTTTCTAATGACACTATCATGTCATTTTCAAGAAAACAGCTGCTTTAGAACTTCAAATGTTCAACAACCTTACAGTTTTATATGTCTTAACAATAAAAATGAAAAAATTAAAAATAAATTACTCAGGTGAGGATTGAACGCGGATCAACGACGTTGTAACGCAACATGCTGACCACTGGACCACAATGGCACTATTGTGCTTGTATGGCTGAAATGATAGTTACAACATCATTACCCTGCAGGCTGCATTTTGCTCATGGGGCTGCGAGACAATAAATAAGAAGAGCGGAGCTGCGGCAAAATAATGAATAAAAAGAGTGAGGCTATGGTCAAATAAAAAAATAAATTTAAAAAAGTGCGACTGCTGAGAGTGCAAATAGCTAGAAACACCGGCCCTCGCAGCCAAAAAACGGACCGGCCCAGTGGGAACTCTCTCGGTCCTCCCGATTGGCCAATCTGGGCCTGGAAGATGCCGTCTGACAACGAGGGGAAAATGCCTTACAGTAGTTGTTTTCCATCCATTAGATCGCATGTTTTAAAAAGAATCAGTCCAGGAGGTAATGCTGATCGACAACAGTATTCGCTCAAAGATGATAAAAGCAGGTAAAATAGATTAAAACTATCATTTCAAAGCTGTCCAAATGTGACTGTTTATACGCATCAGCTGCCGACCGGAAGTCTATATGCAATATAATCAAATGTTTAATCCAAAAATCATAATAATATTTATCTATTCATTTATTTTTCATTAGTCTCTATTTCAGAGGTCGCCACAGAGGAATGAACCACCAACTATTCCCGCATTACACACTGGATGCACTTGCAACTGCAACCCAGTACAGGGAAACACCCATACACACTCATTCTCACACACACACACACACACACACACACACACACACACACACACACACACACACACACACACACAGGCATACACTATGGACAATTTAGTTCACCTAATTCACCTATAGCACATGTGTTTGGACTGTGAGGGAAACCGGAGCACCCGAAGAAAACCCAAACCAACCATAATCAGAACTGTCAGTAATGATTAATCCTAACAAATATAATATTATAATGCTATATAATATTATATTTGTTTATACTATAAATTAAACATAAATTTAAATGAGAGATTTGTGAGGGGGTGTACTTATTTATGCTGTATATCTTCTACATAATAATATTAAAAAAATGATATCATCAGTAATATCATATAAATTATTATATATATTATAAATGCAAGTGTATATATAGGAGCTGACATATAAATGATTTATATTTACTTTACTTTAAATGTATGTAAAACTACACTTACTGTACATTAATCACATATATGAATACATTCATTATATATGCATACATTCATAATGTGTATGAATATCTGATAGCAATTCCATTTTAATTTAGCATGGAGCGTATTCATATTTAGGAATTGGATTTTTTTCTAGTTAATTCTGAACGCCACACAAACCTGCTGTATGCTAAACACACACACGCGCACGCGCTTCAATTCTCTATTCGTCGTTTAGTGAGAGATGAGAAAATGAAGAGAAATGATGAAGACTGAGAGGAGGGGAGGTGGGTTGTGAACTCTGTGAATACGTTGGAGGCTGGAGTTACTGTCAGACGGGGGAATGTTTGAATTAATTGGGCCGAGAACTCGTATACTGACAAGAAGCAGCGTAAAAACCTGAGAGAAACCAGTTCACAGTGTGTGTGTGTGTGTGCGTGCGCATGTTTAAACTATCACAAATGTGAGTGCAGTAGAGCGGGAATAATCCTCCAGCTCCACATGTACAGTAGGTTGAGCTGCTCTCTAAGTGAAGCTAGAGTACTAACGAGAGGTAAAATGTGAAGAAAGACACATATGTGGTGCTTTTAATGCTATTTTATCAATAAAGCTATCGCTTTTTCGCATTTAGCTATAGCACATCTGATTCACAAATTTATGAAACTTACCGTAGTCAACAATTGTTGACCACTGAATGAATCAATTCAATTCAATTCAATTCAATTCAATTCAATTCAATTCAGCTTTATTTGTATAGCGCTTTTACAATGTAGATTGTGTCAAAGCAGCTTCACATAAATGGTCATAGTAACTGGATCAGGGTAGTTCAGTTTTTAGTGTTTAAGTTCAGTTCAGTTTAGCTCAGTTCAGTGTAGTTTGAAGTCATTATTGAGAGTCCAAACACTGAAGAGCAAATCAAAACCTTTTATATCCTAAAACTACTGAACAACACCCATTCGGAAAGTGTTCATAGCGCTTCACTTTTTCCACATTTTTTCATGTTACAGCCTTTTTCCAAAATGGAATAAATTCATTTATTAACCCCATAATGACAATGTGAAAAAAAGAGTTTTTAAAATTGCTGCAAATGTATTAAATATAAAAAAGCTGAAAAATCACATGTACATCAGTATTCACAGCCTGCGCTCAATACTTTTTTGATGCACCTTTGGCAGCAATTACAACCTCAAGTCTTTTTGAATATGATGCCACAAGCTTGGCACACCAGTCTTTGAGAATTTTTCCTCTTTGCAGTATTTCTCAAGCTCTATTAGTTTGGATTGGAAGAGTACAGCCATTTTCAGATCTCTCCAGAGATGTTTAATAGGATTTAGGTCTGGGCTCTGGCTAGGCCACTCAAGGACATTCCCCGAGTTGTTGTGAAGCCACTCTATTGATATTTTCAATAGACCTCAGGCCTGTATAGTAAAGTGGCCAGACGGAAGCCACTCCCCGCCTGGAATTTGCCAAAAGGCATCTGAAGGACTCTCAGACCACCAGAAACTAAACTCTCTGGTCTGTTGAGACTGAAATTGAACTCTTTGGAGTGAATGCCAGGCATTATGTTTGGAGAAAACCAGGCACCGCTCCTTGCCAGACTAATACCATCCCTACAGTGAAGCATGGTGGTGGCAGCATCATGCTGTTGGGATGTTTTTCAGCAGCAGGAACTGGAAGACTAGTCAGGATAGAGGGAAAGATGAATACAGCGATGTACAAAGACATCCTGAATGAAAACCTGCTTCAGAGTGCTCTTGACCTCAAACTGGGGCGACGGTTCATCTTCCAGCAGGACAATGACCCAAAACACAGTGCCAAAATATCAACAGAGTGGCTTCACAACAACTCAGTGAATGTCCTCGAGTGGCCCAGCCAGAGCCCAGACCTAAATCCTATTGAACATCTCTGGAGAGATCTGAAAATGGCTGTACACTGTCGCTTGCCATCCAATCTGATAGAGCCTGAGAGATACTGCAAAGAGGAATGGGCAAAAATTCCCAGACAGGTGTGCCAAGCTTATGGCATCATATTTAGAAAGACTTGAGGCTGTAATTGCTGCCAAAGGTGCATCAACAAAGTATTGAGCAAAGGCTGTTAATATTGGTGTACTTATGTGTATTTTCAGCTTTTTTATTTTTAATAAATTTACAACAATTTAAAAAAATATATTTTTTCACATTTTCATTATGGGGTATTCTGTGTAGAATTATGAGGAAATAAATTAATTTAATCCATTTTGGAATAAGGCTGTAACATAAAAAATATGGAAAAAAAGTGAAGCGCTATGAATACTTTCCGGATACACTGAAATTATTCAGATTCTTGCAATTAGCAGAAATTGTTTCCAGAGAGTTTAATTAAGTATTATATAAAGGAAAAGTGTGTGTATTTATATTTCTCTTGTAAAGTAAAACACAATCAATTCGATTTCCACAATGAAATGCTAATTATTATTTTGCATCCGAATAATTTCAGAAAAATCCCATGATTCACCTGCCAAGAAACACATGTATGCAATGCACACACACACACACACACACACGCACCAGCGTCGTGCTGCAGCTACAGGCATGCAGTTAGATATTAATTAGCCGTGGGAGTAACGGAAAGTGCAGTAACCTGAAATGATTGGACGCCACACACATAAACACACAGAAGCTGACGTGACCAGACTCTTAATGCAGCGAGGCATAATAGTCATTCAGAGAGAGGTAGAGCGAGATCTGAGGAAAACACACAAACACAGCAGAGAAGAGCGAGATGAGACACACACACTTCTGTTGAAATAGCTCTGTTTAAAGACCTCCACACTGCCACGTGCCAAACCCAGACAGGAAGGAGGTGGCGTGGATTCGCGGTTCTCCTCCATTTATTCCTTTTGTTAACAACGGTGTCCTTTTAGTCTTTTACGCTTATTTGCCTACTTCTCTGTTCTTTGGAGATGCTGGAGGAGATGGGTTTCAGTGTGACTCATTCAGGGAATAGAGAAGAAGCAAAAAA